GCATTGTTCCACCTCTCAAGCCTGTGAGGGTCCCTCTCCATGTCCCCTCCCTTCCCTCCTGCTGTGACTGCCCCACAGAGCTTGGTGTGGTCAGTGAACTTGCTGAAGGTTCACTCAATAAATCTCATGGCTGAGATTGGTCTAAATAATTACTTACTTTGTAAAATCTTTCTGACAGGCTAGAAGTTCTAGGAGAAAGAGTACACATGGCGGGTGAAAGCAGTGTGGCTGCCCCAGAGAGTCTAGGCACTGTCGGATTATCTTGAGCACTTCCATAATGCTCTGCCCTTGGGATTTCCTCAAAGCAAGGACCTTTAAAACACTAAGAAGAGGAAAAAAAGTCTGTGAGTACTTCAAAACATTGTGCTTAAAATAACCCAAAAAAATCATAGTTTAAGAAGTGCCTGAGATTACTATCTGAATTTTCAGGTGTGTTGCAGCAGTAGTGATTAGAGTTGGGAGTGATAAAACCCCAAACAGCATCCAGCACTCCCTGCACCTACCCAGGTTTGAGAGCCCCAAACAGCCAAGCTGAGAATGAGAAATATCTCTTTTGATTTACATTCTCAGAATACCAGGTAATTTAATGAGATGCAACTACTCTGTATTTGGTATCAAGGCTGGGTAATGCTGATGTACCATGTCTTTGCTGTTTGCAGACAAAAAGCAAAATGCCACTGCAAACAGATCTCAGGAATCAAGACAATAAATTGCCAAGCAATTGTTTTTTACATTCTGTTCTATGTAATAGAAGCAAATGAAATGAAATAGTACTCTCTGAGCCCCCACATGCTAGTGAATAACTTAAGTTTGATACATAAATCTGACAACTACTCATGTACATGTTTTTCAAGACTACCTTGCAGCTAAACTACATTTCATTCCACTTGCAGAGGTGTGAAGATGAGCTTCTATCTTTTATAACTGGCAACAGTTGCAATTTGCTTACCTTTCACGGGAAAGTGATTGATCCTTAATAAAGTCTAATATGTGTTTCAAAATAGGGTATTTTTCCTTCACAGTAGGCACAGCCCTTGGCTCTTCCATTGATCTGAACGACAGCAGCCTCAGCCTTCCCCGGCTGAACTGAGACTTCCGTGTGGGAGTGGAAGGAGGTGATGACACATCTTCTTGCTGTGGAACTGCATTTTCAGCAGGCTTACTATGAAATACAGATGCTGCTTCTGTTTGGAGGGGGTCTGGGACTTGTTTAACCTTTGGATCAGCCTGTGATGCTTGGCCTCCATCTTTTGAAACGGGAGGAGTTACTGGACTGGAGGACAGGGAATGTGCTGCCTGGAAGTCTGTGTCCACAACAGAACCTTTTCTTTGGCATCTATCACTGACATATTGTTGGGGATCATCAGTATCTTGGGCTTCCAAACTGTCTGAAGCAGAATCTTTCGTCTTTGCTCTTACAGGCAAAAAATTCAGTAACAAAAGGCTCTTCTGCATACAGAGTTTTGCTGCGGCATAAAAATAGGAAGAGTTAAAATCATGACAACAGAACAGCAAACTTGCTGTCTTCTGCTTAGGAAGACAGTGATTTAGCTTATTTCTTCTGAGCCAAGACAGCCAGAAAATAATTTTTTCTTGTTAAATTGATCACGACACCATCAGTTAATGAAGTTTAGATTTCCACATGCTAAATGTGAATAATTACAGAATTCTATGAAGTACACAGCAGTCAGTGAGAACACATTTTATCCTAATACCAATCAGCTGCTACTCTAACATCAATCAACTGTGGCAAGAAGTATCTACAAAAGAGATGATCATAACTTCAGAACCAGGTGACCAAGTCACTCCCTGTGGAATTTCCTCAATACTACTTTCTGCAAAGAATAGAGAACACAATACCAGATTCATGCAATGCACACTAGGTTATCTCTTATGGTATAAAAAAGTAATCTCAGTTGCTAACTTACCTTTCACAGCAAAAATAATGCCTTAAGCTTTCCAAGGCAATGCCTAATTTAGCTACCTGGAATGCTTACACATTTGGATAGGCAACACTTACCAAGAGTTTCTGGGTTCACCTCACTTGCTTCTGTGTTCTGCTTCTCATCAGTATCATTCCCCCTACCCATCAGGGATTTCTGCTTCATTTCCAACTGCAGACAGGATGTTAAAATAGTTAAAACATGATTCCCCTTTATATTTACACAGCAAGGCAGTATGAAGACTGTACTGCTTTAAAGGAGTTTCATCTCAGGAACAGGTAACAGTAGTTACTATTCCCTATGCAGTGCAAACCACCCAGAGGTTTAAAACAGCAGCACCTAAACTATCAGAGCAGGTAAATCTGAGCTCATACTGAGCTGCTTGAGGTTTGCAGGCTCAGCCCATTCTCTGTCTTGTGACTGGATGTGCATCAGGCCCCCAAGGAAAAGGCTCCTTCACCCTCACCACTCAAGGGAAGAGATACACCTAGTCCTGAGATAAGGTTCTCCAAAACCACGTCATCTCACTTGTGTCAGATGCAAACATCCCCTGTCTCTAACAGGTACAGGCAGTTACTCATCTTAACATGCATCTGCACTCACTGCAACTCCAGTGCACCAAGCTGCCAGGAATTCTTAGGCAGAAAAGAGGAGTGAGAAGGTCACAAGACAGTGGAATGATGTTTAGGACAGATTTCTTTCTAGGCTATACCTCAAAGAACTCCAGCTTCAGTGTAAGAATCTTCCTACATAACAACACATTCTTATTGAAAAAATAACACAAATTTAATTGTTTTGGGACAAACTCAGTCCTAAATACTCGTGGGGCTGAGGGAAGGAGGGCAGGGTAAGAAAGCATTTAAACATTTGAGTTTAAAGCTTAGAAGTAAATATATGTTCTTCCTAAGTGAAAACAGTTGACCTAGAATCACTGAAGCAAAGCATTGTTCCATCCTACTGCTTAACATTGCATTGTAAAACAGTAAGGTAAATGACATTAATAGGTATCCTCCTGAGTGTTCTTACCATCCATATTCTAATGGAATCAGCCAGGGAATACACTTGTGCAAACTCCTCACTCAAAGGCACCTTGCCTCCACTGTTGACTGGAAATGAGAGAAAGAAGAGTCCTGTTTATTTACAGCTCCATTTACACACAATTCAACTACTTAACCAAAATTATGCTACAGCTTTCCCTTCATCTCTTAGTCAACACTTGGAATTATACCTGTAAAGAAAACAGGGAATAAAAACTGCCAACTTCCATATGTCTTAAATACACAAAGTGCACCTTGACAGAGTTATTTACAAAGTTAAATCATGAGGATCTCTCTCATCTCTTCCCCAGACTGGTGCCTGCAGTCATGGACAATAAACCCTCTCCCTGTATACACAAATATCACTAATGCAAACTGATACCAGAGTAATCAAGAAATGCTTAGTATAAACTTAAAGCTCTATAGATTTTTTCCCTATTCTTTTATGCTATGAATTCCTGGAATGGATTTTCAAGAGTAGTTTACAAAAAGTTAAAGACCTGACAAAACAGTTTCCATCAAAACTGCCCTGACAGTGACTATGGAGAAAAGACATTCCCATTCAGAGTCTTCTCTCTCCCACTCCCCTTTTATTATTCTTTTTTTTCCTTTCTTCTTGTCAGCATCACTTGTCCAACTTCCCACAGCACAGGTGAACACAGGTCCTAAAGTGATTCTGCCCAGCACAGCTGACACAGGGAGCACTGACAGAACCATGGGATGGATTTCTTCATCACTTATTAATACTTTCCTGAGCTACTGCAGTTTTCAATCACACTCAGAAAATTAGCTCAATTGTCAGACAGACAAAATGACTAAAGGCAATAACCACATTAGTCATCAAGTCAGTCTTGTGTCAATCATTTCTACTCATAACTTTACAGCTCAGAATGTAAACTGTTTAGTGTCAAAATTATGACAGAAAGTGAAAGCCTAAAATGAAACTCTTCAAAGCCAAGTAACATCTTATTATCTAATTCTTCAAACATATCAATAAACTTCATGGAAGGATGCTCTAAGATTAAAAATTTTGCATTTTTCCTACTGAAAAGTACATAAAATACACTATAACAGATTATACAATTTAAAAGACAAACATTACCCTTTGTTTAAAAAAAATTAAAGATGCATTTTGAGGATGCCAAGGTTAGTTTTTCCACGTTATGACATTTTTTGGAGGTTAACTCACACCTCCTCCACCTCTAGCAGTTAGTAATATATATAAATTGTTGCTGGTTTTTCAGAAGAGACACAAGGAGAGTGAAAAATGATCTAAGATCCTCTAATCACTGTCCTGAGCTGAAGCCTCAGAGAATATCACTACTCTTCTGGAAGGCTTAGTCAGTAGCTTGTGATGGTTATTAATATTTTGTCAGAGCTCTGAAGACAAAAGCATATATTAATAAAGAAACCACTCTGGAGAGCAAGTTTACCTAATTACCTAAATGATACCTCCATACAGAACATCTTCTGCAAATGTGCCCCACTAAACTGATTCTAAAGGCTATAAACTGAGCTGCAACAGAGCCTTTTACAAACTTTAAGTCTTCATTATTAAGATAATCTAATAATATTAGAGTTACCATATTTTTGAAGCTTCTCAAATAAATCTGGAGTGAGATACACCAAAGCAGCAAATGTTGAGTTCACAGCTTGATCAACAGTAGAACCAGCAACTATATCTGTCTTTGGGGTCTGTTTTTTACATGCCTGTATAAGTCCTTTGAAAAGTTCAGATTTTTGCCCACTGAAGTCCTGGGCAGGATCTGATTTTGCAAAGTCGATAAGAAAGTTACGGCAGACGTCCTGGGGAGAGCTCCGAGCCTGCAGGGGATGGGAGAAAACAGGAGCTTTAATAACATCTGAAGAATTGTTGTAGCTCATTTGATACAATTCAGTCAACTTGCAGTTTATTCACTGCAGTTCATAGAATCATAGAATTCAGGGGTTGGAATGGACCTTACAGATTATCCAGTCCCAATCCCCTGCCATGGACAAGGACACTTCCTCACCAGAGCAGGTTGCTCAAGGCTCATCCAACCTGGCTTTGAACACCACCAGGGTTGGGGCAGCCACAGCCTCCCTGGGCAACCTGTGCCAGTGTCTCACCACCCTCACAGGGAAAAACTTTTTTCTCACATCCAACCTAGACTTTCCCTCCTTCAGTTTGAACCCATTACCCCTTGTCCTATCACTGCAGTTCCTAACACAGAGTCCCTCTCTGGCTCCTTGTAGGCCCTTCAGATAGTGAAAAGTTGCAATGAGGGCTCCTCACAACCTTCTCTGCTCTAGGCAGAACAGCCCCAGCTCCCTCAGCCTGTCTCATAGGGGAGGTGTTCCAGTACTCTCAGTAACTTCGTGGCCTCCTCTGGACTTGCTCCAACAGTTCCATGTCCTTATGTTGAGGACACCAGAACTGTGTGCAGTATTCCAGGTGGGTCTCATGAGAGCAGAGCAGAGGGGAAGAATCACCTCTTTTGACCTGCTGCTCACACTCCTTTGGATGCAGCCTAGGATTCCATTGTCTGAGCTCACACTGCAGCTCATGGTGAGCTTCTCATCCACTGTCACTCCCAAGTCTCTCTCCTCATTGCTGCTTTCAATTCCTTCCCAACCCAACCTGTAGCTGTGCCTGGGATTGCCACGGCTCAGATGTAGGACCCTGCACTTCATATTCAGTCAAGCAACATGATCCAGTGAAAGATGTCCCTGCACCAGGCAGGGAGTGAATTAGATGATCTTTGATCTCCAAACCATCTTAGAGAATCATAGAATAGAATCACAGTGGTTTGGGTTGGAAGGGTCCTTAAAATTCATCTCATTCCAACCCCCTGCCATGAACAGGGACACCTTCCACCAGACCAGGATGCTCCAAGCCCCATCCAGTAATAAAGAGCACAGCATGACAGTTTCTTTCCTCCTTCATATCTGAATTAAACAGCACAAGTGCTGACAAATTCAGCACAGCAACATATGCTTGAGGGCATATCAACTTGATAAATCCAAATGAGCCTGTGGGATACACAGGGAGTTCATGCCAATGGAACAAAAGCAGGGTGTAGGTACCTCTTTTTTGTCTTGGTGCTTGGCACTGCTTTGCTTGGCTCCTGGGAGTGCCTCAGGACACATCTGATGCCTGAAGACAGGTTTCCACAGCGGAGAATTAAGAACTGATGTGACTTTCAAAGGAGGCAAGTCTGCTTCACTACCTACTTCTGCAAGAAATTCAGAACAGACACTTTAGTTATGAAATATTTGTGTTCATTTTTACAGACTAATGAACATAGCAAGTGTTAAACATCCAGTAGGGGCAGAAAAAAAACCCAAACACCAAAAAGGTAATGCAAATACACTGAAGAAGCAATTTAACAATGTTTTCTGTTTCTCTAATGTAGTACAGAAAACTAATGTACCTTTCTTTAATGGCAGCACTGATATCTTATACTCACAATGTTACATTATGGAAGGACTTTTTTGCTGTACTTATAACTCTAGAAATTCCCCAATCTGCAGGAGAATTTAAAAGCTTTTTCTCTTACTAAATACAAAATAATTTGCTATATGTAAGCATGCTTATATTAAGAAAGGGAGAAAATATTCTGTGATAAGAACACTTCAATGACTTCCCTAAATTCACAGGTAAGTAGCTGCCTAATTTCCCAAGGTAAGTCCTAAGTCCTGACCACCTGATGGCAGCAAGAACTCTTTATTCTCGTTTTATTTCTCCAGAGTGAAGGATGGATTCAGATTTAGGAAGCTAAATCGAAGTGTTCTTGATTTTAAATGAAATAATAAACTAATTACTTATTTAGCATTTTACTAATCTTTAGTGGCCCAAATCCTAAGTGTACTTAGCTCCTGGAATGAATCAAACTCAATTTGTGAGTTCATAGAATCATAGAATTTTAGTGGTTGGAATGGACCTTATGGATCATGTAGTCCTAATCCCAATTTGAATCAAATGTTCATGTGAAACTTCTAAAGCCATTTGTGTTCCTCTGCATTTATTTCAGTTTGCTGACTCCATATTCACACCCCCAACAAGGGGTGGATCACAGCACCAGGGAACAATTTGGAAAGAAAAAGAAAAGGAAGAAGATTGGGCAAATTCTATTACTTCATACATGTAATTCAGCTTAGTATGATTACTTCCAGGTGTCACAGTCTCCCAACACAGCAAGTCCTCCATCTTCAGTTGGGAGAAACACAAAAGGAACTTGATTTTCACAGGGGATTCTAAACATAAGGTCCAATGGCATCCTGGCCTGGCCTGGCCCAGGGAGGTAATTCTGCCCCTGGACTCAGCACTGGTGAGGTCACACCTTGAATCCTGTGCTCAGTTCTGGGCCCCTCAGTTCAGGAGGGACATTGAGGGGCTGGAGCAGGTCCAGAGAAGAGCAACGAGGCTGGGGAAGGGACTGGAGCACAAGTGCCATGAGGAGAGGCTGAGGGAGCTGGGGGGGTTCAGCCTGGAGAAGAGGAGGCTCAGGGGAGACCTTCTCACCCTCTACAACTCCCTGACAGGAGGTTGGAGTCAGGTGGGGGTTGGTCTCTTCTCCCAGGCAACCAGCAGCAGGACAAGAGGGCACAGACTCAAGCTCTGCCAGGGGAGGGTTAGGTTGGATATTAGGAAGAGATTTTTTACAGAGAGAGTGATCAGACATTGGAATGTGCTGCCCAGGGAGGTGGTGGATTCACCATCCCTGGAGGTTTTCAAGCTGAGACTGGATGTGGCACTTAGTGCCATGGTCTAGTAACCACGGTAGGGTTGGACTTGATGATCTTGGAGGTCTTTTCCAACCAGGCTGATTCTATGATTCTATACCTTCTCTATTTTTGGTTCCCAACTTGTGGAGCTGTTGCCTGCACTCACCTCGTAGGGATTTCAGGGCCATGCTTCGGGAAGCCAAGCGCCCCATCAGCCGCGATACAAGAAGCTGTAAATCCAAGCCCCAAGAAACGGCAACATCTGGGAGGCCATAAGCAGTGACGGAAAACTTGTAGCCCCACTCATTATTACTGCTGTCAGAGTGAAAGAGAAACTGCAGCCGTGGGCCAGCCTTAAAGGTCACTTTCTACAGAGCAACAAAACAGTCATTTTGCCAAATGTACATGACAGGAAAACGTTTCAGGGTAATGAATTCCCTTCAGCAACTCTGGTTTTTGCAGTATTATGTTCTGTCCATAACCAATCTAATTTCCCCCACCATCTCCATGAGAAACCCACAATGCTAAGCAGGTAAAATTTCGATTCAATAGCTTAATGAGCTGATTGAGCTTTAGAAGGCAGAAGCACAAAACAACAGAGCAGCATCCCACTTGAGCAGGTGTCACTGCAGACACAGCACAGCCACAGGGACTGCTGCACTCATCTCATGAGGTAAGAACTTTTACCCATATAATTACTGGCAGTTAAACATGATCATTGCTTTCCATTTGACTGACTGCTCTTGTGATAACAGCAGCAAAGAGGGATTTTTTTTTATTCATTCACTCCTTTTATTTGCAGCATTTCAGACATTTCTCCCCTCCTCTCCCCCAACTCTGAGAGGGAATAAATGCACACACACACAAAAAACCCCACACATCCTTTTAGACACCAGATTTCCACAGGAATCATAAGGATTTCCTAAGATTGGGTATATCATTTTCTTCAGAATCTTAAAGTCGCTCACCTTAGGCCACTTGTCAGTGCCAACCTTTGTATCATAACGAGTTTTTGCCCCTCTGGCATCAGTAAACTCCAGGTAATCATACCTGTGAAAATTGCAATCCATTACTTTCAAATTTACTTTGCAAGTTTGGGGGGAAAAAGTTTGCTTTGGGATTTTCACAGGTGCTGCATCTCAGTGTACCCTGTGACATCTCTCTGAGCCACATCTTCATGGGACTATGAGGGGATTTATTCCATGTCCCAGTGCAGGAGTCCCAGCAAACACAGACCTGTTTCCTGCAGAACTTTCCCAACCCTTCAGAGCTGGTAATGTGTGCCAAATCTAACATCTGGCAAATGATTTAAATAAGCCTGCTATGTTACCAAGGGAAACCAAGCCAAGAGTTTTGCCTAAGGAAGGCAAAATAAATACCACAAGCACAAACTGTGATGGTCACAGCAATATTACAACACAAAGCAAGGCCAAAGGAGGCAAAATTCATGTGAACAGCATGTCTGTACATTTGCCAGAAGTGGCTTTCAGCACCAGATCATTCAAAATACACATTGTATATGCTCTGGACAATGAAGAAACAGAAATGGCAATGCTTGGGGTGCACATTGAAACATGAATTGCCCCTCTGCAAACAGACACTGGAATCTAACACAGCACAAGATGAAATTACCTCCTCTCAGTTTCACATTTTTCATCAAATTCCACCTCAAAGTAAGTTGCCCCATGACACAGGAACACTGAGACCTCGTGACAGTTATTTTCATAGTTATGAGGTGATTCCATAGTCCACGTTCGCAGCACTACAGGCTGCTCCTGCTGCCAGTTCTCCATATCCATCTGCACAACAAAAATGCATTCTTAGGTACAAAGGTACAAGTGTACTTAGATATAAGTGTTACCTCACTAGATTTTTTGTGTCTATACTTTCCAGCTGCCACATGTACATGCAAAGTGGCATTTAAAAGGCTACAGCATTGATTTACACTGAAACTGGTTCTAAAGACATCCTTGACAATCCTAGTAAGGATGCACTTCTACAGCAAAACTCATCAGTCTACTGTGGGAGGAGACAGCCTCACTCAGATGTGACTACAAGACTCCAACAATGACAAAAAGATGGATGACTAATGCAGATTTAAACATCTCCACTGCAGACATACAGACTTTGTTTGCATCACCACAAGCAATGAAGCTAAAAATGTTAAGCACATGCTATTTTTAATTTATTTACCACTTCATCCTCAGAATCTCCTTCCTATCTACCTTCTAGGCTGCTCATTCCACTTTCTGATCACTTCACTCATCTTCCATATCAGGACAGATCTATTTCCAGTTCTTCACTCAACATTTCATCACATCTCCCATGCTGTTAGAAGCTTTCCAGCTCTGTGCCAATCCTCACCAACAGAATCACCCGAGTTTGCCATGTCTTTCTTGCAGTTTTGCTTTTGTTTCACTGTGTTTAATAGTGTCTGCACCTTTAGTTACCTTATGAGGTTCACTGCAAAGTCTTTTCAGTGGTTCTATCAAAGTGCTGAATTCCTGTAGCAGAGTACAGTACGGAATGTCTAAAGTGCAAAAATCCAACAAGAAGATGACCTAGGAGAAAGCACAGGTCTCATGAAAGTGCCCAAAACCACAGCCATGAAACCCAGGAACAGGACAGAATCCCCCTGGTCACTTACCAGCTGACGAGTTGCCATGGCAAAGACAGAGTTACTTATTTTTTCTACTATTGTTTTGCCATTATATTGAGATAAAAGTGACTGCAAAATCGTTCTGATATTTGACAGGAACTGGCTGACATCTAAAGAGAAAAAACACATTCTTAATAGCCACCTCAAGGACCTGTGCTCACAACTCACTTCATCAAACATCAAGTCCATGGTGATGTGCACATGGACAAAGGATCTGCTGTCCCAAGGTAGTCACACCCAACACTTCAGAGAGGTTTTCTGGGATATTTCTATGTGAAAACAAGTCATGCTTATCCATGATACTACAGGAGAGATGAGTAATTTAATCAAACAGTCCAAGACTGTTTCAACATCCTCAGTGTACCCAGCAGCCTCCTTGCACAGCTGAGAAATGCAGCTTCAGTAGCAAGTGAGGCTAGGGATTTTTAGTTATAGCCTTGCTCCATTTTTAAATGAAGACAGGAACACTGAAAATTTATTTATATAAAAATCACATAATATGAAGCAATTTTACATAAAATTACACCTCTTAAGTACCTGGCCTAATTAACTACTCAGTACTGAGCTGCTGCAGAAAAAAAGCCCAACAAACCCTTGAGAAGTTCCTGTTTCTTGCTATCAAAAATATCTAGCAAAATCCCTATCACCACACAGGACATCAAAGTAAGGGACACTTCCAGAAACTACAATGTTCAAATGAAAGTGTGTAACTATTTGTTGTTTGGCTTTTTTTTCCCCAGTATTTGATCCCCAAAACATCCTGAAATGCTTTCTGAAGATTCTCCCAACACAAGATTACCAGCACAGTTCAAACTCTGAAGTTGCTCGACATGCCTACAAAGTACTTCCTAGAGATTAGAAATGCTGTGACAGTTATGACTATGCCTCAGGCAACCACTGCTGATCCCCCATTATACTGCAATTTGCAAAATCACATTGCAAAGTCCTGAATTACACCACACTTCATTCTCTGTTCAATCCCAGCACTTACAGTTTTTAACTATTTCTACTGCAAGGTCCTTGGCTGAGTTATCACTGCCCTTGAGCTGCAGGTAGCACCAGGAGAGAAGGCTACCCTGAACAGACCAGAATAAGGAAGACAAGACTGTGCCACTCTCTTGCTGTGCCACATCCAGCATCATCATTTCACACTGAAAAATACAGAAAAACATTCATGAATGCAATGTAGCTGCAGAATGACACACAATATGTACCAAGTAAACCGTGATGGACATCATCATCCCACTCAGCTCAGAAAAAAAGATGAAGTGAACTGACATGTAACACCATGAAGCAACTGAAGTGTTTTGTTTTGATAAATCACAATTTTAAATAGGAACAGCTACATATGAGTCACTCAATGTTCTCAGTATATTTTTGCTGCATATGTAAATGACTTTCCTCCATTTCCACCTCCCTTAGTGACATGACCAATTCCATCCTCTCAAAATGGAATGATTACTTCTGTATCCTTAATGTCTACCCACCAAGTCTTTCCAATGCTATAGAAAAATGCCTCAACTTATACATTACTTACTCTACTATTATGAAATGTCAATGCTTAGAGGAAAACACTGACTGGTTGGAAAACCTAATCTTACTGAGTTGAAGAGCCATGAATAGCTGGACCCAAAGAGGAAAGCTAGTTCCTTGGCATCCATGGCATGCAGCTTGCATGGGAATGCATACAAAATTCACAACAAAGATGTAGGAAGAGGAGCAGTGCAGCTACCTCTCTTGCTGCCACCAGCAGAAGGGTGTCCATGACTGATAACACTTCACTTATGTCAAAATTTGCAGAAACTCCTTTCTCTGGTAATAATAAAAGTCCTCCAGGATCTTGATCACTGCAAAACAAAGATTTTCTTATTAACCAACAAGTAGCACAGTTCCAAAGCCACAAATTTAGCTATCCTTGTGACAAGGCTATAGAAATCCTACAGTGTAAGTACTATGAAAATCAAAAGTTTGGGTTCTGATGACTCCAGATTGATTAAATCAGTAATACTCATCAGCATGGGCAAATAATCACTTTAAAAAATGGAAGACAGCCTAGGAAAAGCCTAAGAGCAATAGAATGTGACTTCAGCACCAACCTTGGTCAATGTTTTATACAGCTGTTCAATTGATAAACATACTGAGTAGTAGCATCTCCTTTCTAAAGCAATATTAGTTGATTATATTGGAGAATTATTTTTCACAATTATTTTCCACATTGGCAAAAAGGACTAAATATGATGAGAGGTACTAGACAAGTAATTTCAGTTTCAGGCCCCCTTACCTGAAGTGTGTACACAAGGATCTGAAGGCAAGATGCACAGATTGCTTATGTTCTTGCTCTGTGATGTTTTTCTAGAAAAGGAAAAAGATTTATTTTTATATGTTCTGTTTCACTCCTGTGTGAGAAAGAATTCTAATCTCTGCGTTCTACTATTCATTTTTGGTAAGAAAGGCAGGGTTAGCTCCTCTTTCTCTGGGGAAGCTGCAGAGAGAGACAAGGGGGAGGGGTAAAAAAAGGCAAAGAAGAAAAAAAATAAGGTTTTGACTTTAATGGGATAAAGTATACATTATCTGACAACAACAACAACTGAGATTTGTCCTCTTTCCTGCACAAAGCAATAGTAAATACTCAACAAGCAAGTTCTCAGGTAATGTTTACCATCATGGTGAAGAGTTGGTGTCGCCTGGTCTGTCTGTCTGGGAAAAAGATTGCAGCTCCACTGAGCAAGGTGTTCTTAACTTCCTCTTTGAGCATTTTCATGGGCATGAAGTTACTGTCCCCCATATCCACTACTGCTTGGACAAAAGGGAAACAAAATGACAAGTTTTAATGAATGTTCCATCTACTAGAGGCATAACTGAATTCAGGATGTTAGTCTACACATCTTCAAGCCCTTGCAATCCCACTATACACACTAAGGAGGGGACACTTTTGAACTTTTAGCAAGAAAGGTTTTGCTAAGAATGTATTTATTCACCAAGTAAATGAATTCTAGGAACATTATGACTTGACAATCCCCAAAGCTAATGAAATTTTCAAGGTGTGACAGATTCTATACAAACTGTTTCTCACTCACTTGGCAGGAGACTCTTCAAATGACAACTGAATAAAGAGTGTGATATTCTACTCCCAATGAAATCTAATGTGTAATTCCCATTCTCCTCACTGGCTCCAGAATCTTCCCTGTGTTCCTGCAAATCTCACAGACTCTATGAGCTCAGCTATATTTACATGCAGTATCAGAAATAAATGAACCCCAAACACATGAAAGGATCACACTCCTTGAAGGTTCAAGCAGGTTACATTTTCAAAGGACTTTTCTATTGCAGCTGTTTCCAGTCCACATGTTGTCAGAAAGTCTGTAAACTCATTTCTGAGGGTCAAGGCAAGTTTCCCTGTGACAGACTAATTAGCACACACTGATCTGAAGAAACAGCAAAGCAACAGGAGCTGCCTTGGTCTCTAGGAATAAATATATTTTCCCACATTTTAACAGCCAAAACACTTACTATATATTGAATATAAATTACCTTCACACAGATGTCTATAAAGCTCTTCTGCAGCTTCTGTGTGACCAACTGTTTTGCTCTGAGGAGTTTCTTGAGGTTTAGCAGTTTTACTGTCTCCAGTAAGTACAGAGAAGCAGCTCTGGAGCAGCTGCAAGAGCAGTGTTTGAGCAAAAATACATTCTTCCCTCGGGCTGTGAGAAAATATAAAATAAACAGGAGTAAAAACTAGAAAAGAAGCTCTTCTACACCAAATAAATAATGCTATGAAAGTCACCATCTCAGATGGATAAAAACCACTGAATGGAGAGAGCACAGAGCCAAATGAAGGATAGCTACCAGTTAAATTAATCTACAGCTCAAGCTCCTACATCACAGTGCAGTTAAAAGCCCATATGGCAGCAGCAGGAAAATGTTATTTATGTAAATGATGCAGTTTAGGAAGAACAAACTGCTGTAACTAAACTAAGCATTCTTTATTTATACACATGCACACAGATTAGTGCTGCTGCAGAGAGCAAAGAAGTGACTTACTTTTGGTGAAGTTTATTGTAAAAATTCCAGAACAGCTGCAAATCAAGGCCTGTGAAATCTAAAAATGACTTGTATTTTAATCCACTCTCCTTCTGTTGAACCTTAAAAAAGCAAAGAAAATGCAGGATTGGAAAATTAACTCTCTACAGAACACATTTATAAAACAAAAATCCCTGAGAACTGGGCTTAAAGCAACAAGGTTTCCTATAAATTTGCAGCTGACATGAATTTCAGTTTAAGTTCTTTGGTGGATATTCCAGTGTCTAAAAGGGTCAGTTCATGCTGAAACTTTCCCCTTTCTAGATGTCTAGGCTCCCATCCCTGTCCTCCACCACCAAAAACTTTACAATCTCTCCCTCACTACCTAAGGCTCCCATCCCTCCACCACCTAAAGACTTTACAATCTCTCCCTCACTACCTAATCTGATTCAAAGTAAGACATAGCCCAAGTAAGACTGACATGGTTCAGAATCAAAGCTGAAAAGGCACAGATGCATGTCCTGAAAGAACAAAACATCCTTTTGACATGTATCCTCAGAGGTAGGATACATCCTGCTGCCATACACCAGCACACACACCCTCCACCACCTAAAGACTTTACAATCTCTCCCTCACTACCTAATCTGATTCAAAGTAAGACATAGCCCAAGTAAGACTGACATGGTTCAGAATCAAAGCTGAAAAGGCACAGATGCATGTCCTGAAAGAACAAAACATCCTTTTGACATGTATCCTCAGAGGTAGGATACATCCTGCTGCCATACACCAGCACACACAGGTCACAGCTCCTAACTGTGTATGTCTCACTCTAGATATTCACAGTAATATTTCAGACAAAAGGAGAAATGTTCTAATCTGTGCAATCTTCCTAGCTTACTCTTGATGTATTTTGCCAGATGTTTCCTTCAGACACAATCATAGACAGTAAAGCATCCTCCTGTTCCATCTACTTCATTGGAACCTGATGCTGAAAACAGTTCTTCACTCTTCTGGACCCAAAGTAAGCACATCCCTAGTCACCTTCAGTAAACATACACAGAATGCTATTTTTCAGAGACCATGTTTTTTCTCCACAACATGGTTTTTAACAGTTGTTAGAAGCACCCAGACTTTTATTTATCCATTCACAATTCCTGTTTGCTCAACCTTATTACTTCTATCCTGGTAAATACAAGCTAAAAAAACCTTAAGGAGTAAAAATACCAGGTCCTGTGCCAGCTGCTGGATGAAATGAAGAGTCTTCAGGAGTAGAGTTGTGCCACAAACTGTATCATCCTCAGTCCTCTTGCACTGCAAGCAGTTCATGCTCCTGCTGGGCTCATCCCTCATGGGCCGAAGATACCCCAGAACACTGAGGCCTTGAACCCCAAGTCGTTCTGCTGAGTCTTGTCTTGTGCACAAGAACTTTATCATCAAGTACTAGAAGGATATGAACACAGCATAAGATTTGGTTTTAAAAGACATCAGTGCACATATGTGAGGGTACTGCAGGTGGGGTTGGGAGGGGACAAGCCTTAGTCCCTGTCAAATCACCTCCAGAGGTTTAAAATGCTGAGCCTGAGATTCAGGCTAAGTTTGATCTCTCCCTACTTCCCAAAAAAGCCACAGTGATGGTTCTGTGACTCTACAAGCACCTGTAAAATTAGCTAATTCATGATCAGTTCATTCATTCTGCATGATCTGTTCTTTGCCTCTATAGTTACAGCATTTTTGCAGGGTAAAAAAATTATTTGGTGCCTTTCAAAGCAACCAGAGGATCAATATGTAATTTTTAAAACATATTTTTATGCAATGTGTACCACAGTGAGGTACAGAATGCAAAGCTGAAGGGAACAGCATGTTCTGCCATCCACATGTACTCAGTTCCTCTGCACATTCCTAAGCCTCAGGGACTGAGGGTTACACACAGCAGTGTCTTAGCAAGCAGTGATGGTGTTAGGGAAATTCCCAGTTGACTTATAACTGTGCCACCACTTCTAATTCCCACAGTACAAACAGGGTTTTCATGGCTTCTTACTTGGGAAACTCTGCATTGCTGCATTTTGACATCAACTTCATCCCATTCTTCTTCCACTTCAAACCAGCCAATGGGATCATCATCTCCCAAGTCATCACATGAACAACTGCTTCTGTGTGTAAAAGAATGCAACACACTTTGTAGAGAAAAGGTAAGAACACACTGCAAAGCTGTTGATATTCCACTAAAATACTTAAGAGCATGTTATGGCTATAAAGATGAGAAGAGAGACAACAGGAAATTTCACATACTCAAAGCCCTGTCTCATGTAAAATAAGAAAATTAAGGAAATCTTATTAGTCATGGTCCCTCCCCTCACTCCTAAGCAACAATTCTGAAAAAGTAATTTAATAAAGCTAATTAACATGTGATCTTCCTAGAAGTTGCTTCTGTTATCAGAGATCTGTGCCTCAGGCAGTTTGAAACAGGTATTTTTTTCAATCAAGAGGCTGAAAACAACAGCTCTACATGTTTCCTCAAACACATCAAACTGAGATTCATTAAATTCAAACAAGTAACAATTAAAGGACACCACTAAATAAGCATTTAGCAATTAAACCAGCAATTAAATAAACACCATTTTTAAGTCACTTGGAGTGATTCTCAGCACTTCCAGTGGCAAAGCAGAACGATCAAATTTAACATTCATTTTTCCGTGTGTTTATTACAAAAAGTCCACCCATACCTGTTTTTTAAGAACTGTTTGAATTCCCTCAGCTTCCACTTGTCATAGCTCTCAAACCTTTTGAAGTGTTCCTCTGCATGGAACTTCTCTGAAGGACAGTTGTAGGCAAACACCAGCCCACACTGGGCCCCGATGGCTCCTCTTCGGACCTGGCACAGCCAACCCACAGCAGAGGGTTAGAGGTGACAACAACAGCAGGTGCTGCTCTCACAGAAATAAAACTTTATGGAAAGCAACTAAATCCTGACAATATCTGATGCCTGGAATTGTGCAGGAAAATGAAACACATTTAGAGAAGTGCTATGAAAACTTTTGGAAACTATGAAACCTGAGGTCATGCTCATGGTGAATATTTGATGTATTAATCACCCTGACATTAACTGCAGTTCCACATATTAATTCTCACTCTGACTTTGCATACTTTTTTCATTTAAAATAAACCAAATCTATCATGTCTCCCAGTATCACTGTAAAACCACTTAGCTGCCTCTCCAGCTCCAGTCACAACTTCCTTGCCAGAAGTCCATCCATGCTTAAGTTTATTTGACATTCAAATACAGAATCACAGAATTTAGGGGTTGGAATGGACCTTACAGATCATCTAGATCCTCTGCCCTGGGCAGGGACATCTCCTCACTGGATCAGGTTGCTCAAGGCTCATCCAACCTGGCCTTGAACACTGCCAGGGTTGGGGCAGCCACAGCTTCCCTGGGCAACCTGTGCCAGTGTCTCACCACCCTCACAGGAAAAAACCTTTTCCTCACATCCAACCTAGACTTTCCCTCCTTCAGTTTGAACTCATTGCCCCTTGTCCTGTCCCTGCAGTTCCTTTCCTAACCCCTCTCCAGCTCCTTGTAGGCCCTTCAGATATTATTCCAAGAATTAAACTACTGCTTTGCCTTAATAAATAAATCAACTCAGCTGCAGAAATCTCACTGAAGTTTTGTCCTGGCCATGAGATTTAATCACAAATCTTGCTTTTAAACCAGAGAGAAGTCACACCAAATGTTCAACTTACACTGGTGTCTGTAAAAGGATTTCACAATACCTACATTTATCCAAACTCACATGTTACAAATCTTGAAAACTGCTATTCACAACATCAAATATGTTGTAAATATAAAAGATCTTATATATAAACCACACTCTTTAGAGAGAAACCATACACCTAGGAGTCTCTGGTTTGAGTATATTGCAAGACATAAAAAAAAGCAATGTAAAATAAATGTCTTTGCTACATTCTTGTGGCTCCCTGGAAAAATTTAATACCTCCCTTTCCTTAAGGTCTCTGTGACTTACATCAATGTAAACCCCTAAAACAACACTATTGCATAATAAATTTAAAATTTCAGTTCATATAAAAAATACACCACATCAATTCTACCATGAGGGACAAGTAGCAAACCTTTTACTTCAAAAGCACAGGAACTGCTTACCTTTATTCTAATTTGTGTCACTTGAAACGAAGACTCAGTTCCAGTGGAAAGAATGATACTTGCTCTGGTTTTCCCAGTTTCAGTAAGAAAACCTAAAGCAGCAGTGGGAATAGAATGAGGTTGGAATGATTTGCTAGTGCAGTTTGAAAGAGAATACAAGGGCTGTGGACTGAAGGGGGAAACAAACCCACAATGCTTTCCTAGTGAAATGCTCATTAGTAAATGTTTCCAGACAAAAGAGGGAGAGACAAGTGTTGCACTGTCAGTGCATACACAGATCTCTCCTGGCAGTGTCTCTCTGGGCACTGCAGTATCTGCAGCACTTTCAGGAGTGTTTCCCCATCAAAGGTCATTAGTAACTCCCAACTATTACTTTGCCTTGTGGTTCTATTCAATGACATAATTCATTCACAGATAGAACTCAGTGAATAGTTCCCCAAACTGTGACTCCTAAAACAACAGGAGACACTCCACAAAATAACTATAAAACCAACTCAAACAACACACATGAGCAAAACAAAAATAAGCATTTAGAATGTGCCTGATTTTCTGTCACAATGACCTTCATTTACCAGTAGCACAGCACAAGACAATAAACCATGCCAAAAAAAAAAAAAAAAAAAGATTAGGTGGCATTTCACTTAAAAAGGAGGTCAAGAAACACAAATCTCTTTGTTTAGGTTGTATCCAGCACATAAAAGCTTTGCATTAACAAAGAGAGGCTTTAAAGGAGAATGAATAGTCACGTGGAGTCAGGGAGAGTATCAATGGTTTCTACCATCTCCATCAATATTTGGGAAACTGAATGATTCAGGACTTCAACCCACAAAATGTGCTCTAGGATAACATTCTCTGGGCCAGCTCATTGCTGACTTCACCACAGAATATCAGTAATTCTCCCCAAAATCCAACCTTTCTGCTTGGATTTGACAGTATGACAAATGGATTTCTTGTTTGGACAAATAAACTGGATGCTGAGAAATCCACATTGCTGCAAAATAGAATTTACAGATTGTTTCAGTTTGGGGTTTAGGTTGTTTTGGTGGTTTATTTTACAGATCTTCCACATCATAAAACTATGAAGAAGCACCAAATACTAGAAACACACATGGAGCAGCACCACAGCCTGGTTAGCAGCCTCTGTGTGCCTGGTAGAGTCTTTTCCAACCTAAAAGATTTCACCATTCTAATAGTCTGGATTTTAAGCCCAGGCTCTTACCGTCCCCAGTCCATGGCTCTACAAGGAGGTTTTCAGGCCCTGATTTATCTTCTTTTCCCTTGACATCACATGCCTGCAGAGTCAGTCGCAAAGGTTTTCCTAAGGGAGAAAATCAACAGGCTTATCACATTCATTTAGAAATGGTAAGATAAGTTTTCTAAAGTTTTTCATACAGAAAAAAAATGGAAAAAATTAGGATACGAGACTTTTACCCCTGTCAGACAAAAAAAGGGGAGGGAAAGTGGAGCATAAGAGAGAGGTTAACCTAAAATAGTTCAGGTTTTAGCTAGAGACTGAACACACAAACAAGTGTGTTGTTGGAAGAATAAAAATACTTCATGTCATTTGCCATTTAAGCAATACAAACACTATCACCATCTTGACACAGGGGCCACCACCACAAAGTTCATATTTCTCCCTCCTGATCACAGAAAGCTAATCTAAATCATCAACTTCTAGGGCATTTCAGCTTCACTGGATATCTTCTAATATAATAACTGCTACCAAGAAGTCTTGTATCATTTTTAAACCCCAACAACAAGTAGAACAACTCAAAGCTCCATATTTTCCTAAGGATGTACAGAAAAGGATGCAGGAATTGCTCCATTACCATATTTATACAGCAGGTTCTGCCTGACTGCTGCCATGGAAGCAATAAGTGAGGAAGCCTTGTATGGAGTGTCCAGATGATCAGTGATTGTACAAAGGGAACTTATCACCTTGGCGACACTCCCTCGGGCTAAGGCAAAGGCCAAGAGTGTCAGTTCAACCTCTGGAGTAGTACAGCAACTGGAGAAGGAAAGCAACAACAGTGTGAAAAGAAAATAGGGGACAAGTTGGTTTTAAATAAAGACAAATAATGCTGCAGTAGAATCTTTCAGGTGTCTCTGAATGTCTTTGCATGCTTCAAGACACTTAAAAAAAGAGGTAAAAATGAGATAAATTTACTACAGAAATTCTTCTAAACCCACTGCATCAACACCAACATCTCACCTTGTTATTCTGATAAGGAAGCTGTCTACTTCTTCCAAAACATTTGGAGATAAGAAGCTTGAAAAATCTGTGGAGCCTGCTGTTAGGGACAGAGGTGGCATGTGCTGCAGTGCTTTCCTAGGAGAAAGGATAGAGCACAACATTAGGAAACCAGACAGAATTGGAGAAAACAGTCCAAAAATGAGTTAGACATTTGAATCCTCATGCTTTGTGTGGGAAGGTCTCTGCAAATAGCTCCTGAATGCACAAAATCTATTTACACAGAGAATCTCTTCAAAAGGTAACAACAGTGTTGCATGCAAGCAGGGAAAGTTCAGTGACTCCTGAGTAATCTTGAACCTAGTCTCAATCTCAGCAATGAGATAAATTGAGTGCACCATTAGATAATTTGCA